AGGTAATAATTGTGAGCATGTTGATACATTCAATTATCCATTACCCAGTTTGAAAATGTTTAACTGTTTGGTTCAATTCTTTAACTTTAGGAGAAAGTATATTTATAAACAATAGAGTGTACTGTTTCGAAATGACTTAATTCAGATTAAACTAGGAAATTATTTTTTCATTAAGGTTTTATTCATTTTTCAAGACACAACAGAAAAAATAAAATTTATTTAAATGAAAAAAAAATTAAATTTAACAAAATTTATGTTATAAGAACAGGACAAGAAGATACTTAACAAAGGCTTTAATAAGCAAATGTTAGAAATATGTACCGAACAGAGTACTAAGCGGGGAGGTAATATTTGGATAATATTTGTGAGCATGTTGATACATTCACCTATCCACAACTCTCAGCACCAGTAAAACCATTTTTTTTTTTGTTTTGTTTTGGTGGAGGTGAGTAGCTACTTTATTGCATCTTTTAAAAAGAACTATAAATATACATTATTCGGACTATTGTCCTCATCTTTGTCACCATGTTTATTACAACATTTCGGCCTTTAAGTATCTGTCTATATTTCTGAGATGAGGTATTATGTACACTATTTACATTATTCGGACTATTGTCTTCATCTTTGTCACCATGTTTATTACAACATTTCAGCCCTTCAGTATCTGTCTATATTTCTGAGATGAGGTATTATGTACACTATTTACATTATTCAGACTATTGTCCTCATCTTTGTCGCCATATTTATTACATTTCGGCCTTTAAATATCTGTCTATATTTCTGAGATGAGGCATTATGTACACTATTTACATTATTCAGACTATTGTCCTCATCTTTGTCGCCATATTTATTACATTTCGGCCTTTAAATATCTGTCTATATTTCTGAGATGAGGTATTATGTACACTATTTACATTATTCAGACTATTGTCCTCATCTTTGTCGCCATATTTATTACATCGTTTCGTGTAATAAATATCTTTTAATCACCATCGAGACGTTCACAGACTGTTTTTAGCTGAACAACAATGGCGCCGGCCTCCTGACGGTTTTTACTTTTTTGTCCAATCTTATCTAACTGCTTCTTGCCACATTCTTTGTTGGCTATTATTTTATTTAAAATAATTAGCATTTATTAAGACATTATTTTTTCAGCATATAAATAAATAATAATAATAAAAACACCTTCCTATTTCCTGTGACAATCTAGGCCTGAAGGGGAAAAATGATGCTTTTTATTTTTCATGCTTCTTACTAACGGGACACATGGCACAGTGGATAAAGGCATTGGTTAGATCCAGTGACAGGACACAAAGAGTGTGAATTCAATACCCGGTTAAGGCAGTGGAGAACTTTGAGAGGGAAAATTAACAGGAGATAACTGATAACTGACATCCATTAACCATGGTATGTGGAACTAGAGCAGTCTACCTCAATGAGTGAAATAAAGGTGTTCAGTTCAACATTCCAACCACCTGAGCATACAACGGCTGAAACGTTGTAATAAATATGGCGACAATGATGAGGACAATGGTCCAAATAATGTAAATAATGTACATAATACCTCATCTCAGAAATATAGACAACTATAAATATGTCATCAACAATAAAGCAAGTTATTGTTCTGCTAAATTTGATGATTTTTGATGACAAAACCTAAAGTGACATCTCAATTGTATACAATTCTATTCAGCTACTGAGTTGTTTTAGAAAAGTATCTGGTTGTACTATCAGGAAATAATTTTGTGTTAGGATGTCTGTAGATAGATATGTATCTCTGCACAATGAGTTTTTCTAGCCACTGGTAGAGAGGTTCTTGATTCAGGACATGAATTGTTAATTGTAGCAAATTTTTGGTTAGAGATTAAGATTTTGAATAAAATTTGTTCCCAAGTCTAGCAGTTAATGAAATTAATGAAAACCTGTGCTTATAAAGAGTGTTTTGGCTAAAGACAGTTTGGCTCCCATCTAAGAGATTGCTTTTCAAAGAATGCCTTTCAGTAAATGGCAGTGCTCTGACACTGAGGATAGAGCACTGCCATTTTTTTCTCATTAATTTGTCTTATTTTCACCAAAAACTTTTACTTTTCACAATTTCATTTATTTGCAGAAAAAATAACTTTAGACATCTGATTTCCCCACTGTAATTAATTCATATATTCATGATTTTCCCCACCATAATTAATTCATGTAAATAATTCATCCAATCTGAGAATATCTTGTCAGAGCATCCATATGTCTCTAGAAAGGTCTCAGCATCAGGTTTTCTAATTTCAATTAAAAACCTGTTAGATTTTTGCTTCAGTTCTGCACATTTCATTGTAATAGAAGATATGTAATCTTCCTTAGTTTAACTCAATTCTCTTAGGTGAGTTGTTAAATAATAATCACCAAAAAATCATTCCTATCAAGTGTTTTGTAGATAACAGTGATTTGGTTGAAGCAATCAAATCAAGTAAACTTGTTGCAGATAAGGGATTGAGAATGGAAATAGCAAGTATCAAGGAAATGTTAGATAAGGGAGAAATCTATTCAATAACAAGAGTGAAGTCTAATGATCAAATTGCTTTCTAACTAAAAGAAGTGGCTCCTCTTACTACATGATAAACTGTCTGAATAATGGAGTGATGACAGAATAATGTTTACTAGTAAATAAACAGAATTAGATTGTTAACTATTGTTTATTGTAACTGGAATAACCAGTTATCTCCCTCTCCCCATCTTTATGGACTGTTCTTTTCAGCAGTGGCAAAGACTTGCCTCCCCTTCAGCCCAGGATGGATTGAGCCATTAGATGCTATTTAAACTGCTGTAATTTCTCTCTAGGCAATTTAACTTCACTTGCCTTGTTTTTTGTTTTTTTTGTTTCACTCAATCACACAGCGTATGCCTCTTGATTTCAGAATATGTAATCTTCTTTGGTTTCACTCAGTCACACAACCTATGCCTCTTGATTTCAGAATATGCAATCTTTTGTTTCACTCAGTCACACAACTCATGTCTCTTGATTTCAGAATATGCAATCTTTTGTTTCAATCACTCAGCTAATATCTCATGATTTCAGAATAGGTAATCTTTTGTTTCACTAAATCACACAGCGTATGTCTATTGATTTCAGAATATGTAATCTTTGGTTTCACTCAGTCACACAACCTATGTCTCTTGATTTCAGGATCCAGCCAAGCTTCATCAACAAACATTTTTCATCTTGAATTTCTCTAAATTTACAATCTCAGCAAGTTTACTTAATCATGTTCAGTGTTAGCCATCAATCTTTTTACATGACCAGAATGTGAACTGGTTCATCCCTTTGCCAAATATTTGGTTAGGCAATAGCTTTCTCTAGTTTGTAAAATTTAAATTGATGAACAATACTATCTTTCCATGCAAAAATCTTTTTAATTGTTAAAAACTGGAAGAAATATCATCGATAATTGGTGGAAAAAATTAGTTATTTTTAGATTTATTTATATGAACTATAAAAGAGAAAAATATATTTTTAGTGAAATATTAAGGTTTCCAAAACAAGAAGAGTTGGGAAAAAATATAAAAATGAACCAATGGCTCAAGGAATTTTTTGAATGAGAAAACCTTTCTTTTTTATTTCCTTCCTTCTCTTCTACAACTTTCGATATAAGTAACATCATTCAGCATTTCTGGTTATCAGAAAGGAAAAAGAAAACATTTCTCTTTTCTTTCCTTTGGTGCATGACAATCAAAATAAAAGACAACTTGACTCTTGACATAGAATCTTTTTCACCAAACAGAAAATATATCAACTTTCTTCTAACAAGTTTCAAGCAACATTTACAAATGTTACCACTTTCACAAGTCCAGAAAACGGAGGTAATTTTTCTCAGAATACCACCCCACAATTTACAAGGCCACGCTAGAAAATTCCAGCAACACACAAGGTACAACACAAACCCAGAAGAAGTCAATTTTCAACAGCAAAAATATTTAACGCAACCTATTCCCTCTCAGGCTAAACAAAAATAGATGAGAAACAATTTAATAACTGTCAATTCAAATTTTCTAAATTTGCACAAAGGACTCTATCTGTGGGATCAGGTTGAGATCATAAACAAAGAACCATTGGAAAATTCATAAACTCAAATTCAAGTCAGTAAGTTATCAGGTTTCATGAGATACTATCAAACTCCATGCGTGTCAATTCACTGACTCAACCTCACTTCAAAATTCTCAACAAACCCAACACAGCGCTCAATCAACTATTGTCCACGTGGCAATCAGCTTACAATTGACTTAAAAAGTGAACATTTTCACAACACAAACAGTAATTGTACAATTCATCAATTTAGCCTATCAGTTAAAGGCAAACAACTCTTCACAACTTAAATTCTAACTAATAAGTAACACATATGCACTAGTATTTGAACGAACATATTTGAGATCTTTCCTTTCAGACAGCAAATTATTTTAATTTTTCTAACAATTCAAAACTGTTAACTTTTATTAACCAAATTTCTGCATGAACATTCTTCATAACCATGTCTCAATTTCTACAATCAACAAACATTCTGTTATCCTTTCATGTATATCCATTGTATATATAAAAATCTCTTTATTGTTGGATCTGTAACCACTGTGTTTTTAGTAATTTCTTGCAATGCAAATTGTCCTTATATTCTTTATTTGATCTACGTATTGTGGGATAATGTATAATAAGCACACATAATCTTTGCCTTACAAAAATTTACCTTCTGATACATTTTCACTTAGCTACAACCCGCAACAAAATTAACTATCTGAAAGGTAACCTTTCAATTTTCAACCTAATGTTTAATTTAATTGTTTTTTTTATCTCATTTCCATTTGAAATCACTTGTTACATTTTATAATTGTGAATAGTTTTACAACATTGTTATTTTTGCATTGACAAAATTGACTGGACGGTGTTAATGGGGACAGCCATACATACTCCAATACTAATGCCATGCCTCCTGAGAAAAGAAGGCACCTTGGTCGTACAACAGAGATTACTTCGGCTGCCAAATGAAGGAATGAGAAAGAAAGTGCCTCGGTCGTACAACAGGGGCTGCTTTGGCTGCCAAAAGAAGGAATGTGTTGTCGCTGGGGTTGGCATTGAGACTCACAAAATACCACTTGAAATGCAATTGCAAGATCAAGAGCAGCAAGAATGAAATGAAAGCAGAAGAGCAGCAAGAAAATCGCCTAAGAAGAAATGCAATTTTCACTGCAGTTGCACGAGTGAGAATAGTAGCGCAGAAATGAGCAAAGGGAAAATGCCATTGCTATTGCTGCAGTTTGCAATGGAGAGAATGAGGAATGGCGCAGAAGCCAGCAGAGGAAAGATGCCACCTCCACTGCTGCAGTTCGCACTGGAGAGAATGAGGAATGGCGCAGAAGCCAGCAGAGGAAAGATGCCACCTCCACTGCTGCAGTTCGCACTGGAGAGAATGAGGAATGGCGCAGAAGCCAGCAGAGGAAAGATGCCACCTCCACTGCTGCAGTTCGCACCGGAGAGAATGAGGAATGGGCAGGAAGCCAGCACAGGAAAGATGCCACCTCCACTGCTGCAGTTCGCACCGGAGAGAATGAGGAATGGCGCAGAAGCCAGCACAGGAAAGATGCCACCTCCACTGCTGCAGTTCGCACTGGAGAGAATGAGGAATGGCGCAGAAGCCAGCAGAGGAAAGATGCCATCTCCACTGCTGCAGTTCGCACTGGAGAGAATGAGGAATGGCGCAGAAGCCAGCAGAGGAAAGATGTTACCTCCACTGCTGCAGTTTGCACTGGAGAGAATGAGGAATGGCGCAGAAGCCAGCAGAGGAAAGATGTTACCTCCACTGCTGCAGTTCGCACTGGAGAGAATGAGGAATGGCGCAGAAGCCAGCAGAGGAAAGATGCCATCTCCACTGCTGCAGTTCGCACTGAGAGAATGAGGAATGGCGCAGGAAGCCAGCAGAGGAAAGATGCCATCTCCACTGCTGCAGTTCACACTGGAGAGAATGAGGAATGGCGCAGAAGCCAGCAGAGGAAAGATGTTACCTCCACTGCTGCAGTTCGCACTGAGAGAATGAGGAATGGCGCAGAAGCCAGCAGAGGAAAGATGCCACCTCTACTGCTGCAGTTCGCACTGGAGAGAATGAGGAATGGCGCAGAAGCCAGCAGAGGAAAGATGTTACCTCCACTGCTGCAGTTCGCACTGGAGAGAATGAGGAATGGCACAGAAGCCAGCAGAGGAAAGATGTTACCTCCACTGCTGCAGTTCGCACCGGAGAGAATGAGGAATTGCGCAGAAACCAGCAGAGGAAAGATGCCACCTCCACTGCTGCAGTTTGCAATGGAGAGAATGAGGAATGGCGCAGAAGCCAGCAGAGGAAAGATGCCAACTCCACTGCTGCAGTTCGCACTGGAGAGAATGAGGAATGCGCAGAAGCCAGCAGAGGAAAGATGCCACCTCCACTGCTGCAGTTCGCACTGGAGAGAATGAGGAATGGCGCAGAAGCCAGCAGAGGAAAGATGCCACCTCCACTGCTGCAGTTCGCACCGGAGAGAATGAGGAATGGCGCAGAAGCCAGCACAGGAAAGATGCCACCTCCACTGCTGCAGTTCGCACCGGAGAGAATGAGGAATGGCGCAGAAGCCAGCACAGGAAAGATGCCACCTCCACTGCTGCAGTTCGCACTGGAGAGAATGAGGAATGGCGCAGAAGCCAGCAGAGGAAGATGCCATCTCCACTGCTGCAGTTCGCACTGAGAGAATGAGGAATGGCGCAGAAGCCAGCAGAGGAAAGATGTTACCTCCACTGCTGCAGTTTGCACTGAGAGAATGAGGAATGGCGCAGAAGCCAGCAGAGGAAAGATGTTACTCCACTGCTGCAGTTCGCACTGGAGAGAATGAGGAATGGCGCAGAAGCCAGCAGAGGAAAGATGCCATCTCCACTGCTGCAGTTCGCACTGGAGAGAATGAGGAATGGCGCAGAAGCCAGCAGAGGAAAGATGCCATCTCCACTGCTGCAGTTCACACTGGAGAGAATGAGGAATGGCGCAGAAGCCAGCAGAGGAAAGATGTTACCTCCACTGCTGCAGTTCGCACTGGAGAGAATGAGGAATGGCGCAGAAGCCAGCAGAGGAAAGATGCCACCTCTACTGCTGCAGTTCGCACTGGAGAGAATGAGGAATGGCGCAGAAGCCAGCAGAGGAAAAGATGTTACCCCACTGCTGCAGTTCGCACTGAGAGAATGAGGAATGGCGCAGAAGCCAGCAGAGGAAAGATGTTACCTCCACTGCTGCAGTTCGCACCAGAGAGAATGAGGAATGGCGCAGAAACCAGCAGAGGAAAGATGCCACCTCCACTGCTGCAGTTCGCACTGGAGAGAATGAGGAATGGCGCAGAAGCCAGCAGAGGAAAGATGCCACCTCCACTGCTGCAGTTCGCACTGGAGTGAATGAGGAATGGCGCAGAAGCGAGCAGAGGAAATATGCCACCTCCGCTGCTGCAGTTCGCACCGAGAGAATGAGGAATGGTGCAGAAGCCAGCAGAGGAAAGATGTTACCTCCACTGCTGCAGTTCGCACCGGAGAGAATGAGGAATTGCGCAGAAACCAGCAGAGGAAAGATGTCATCTCCACTGCTGCAGTTCGCACTGGAGAGAATGAGGAATGACACAGAAGCCAGCAGAGGAAAGATGTTACCCCCACTGCTGCAGTTCTCACCAGAGAGAATGAGGAATGGCGCAGAAGCCAGCAGAGGAAAGATGCCACCTCCACTGCTGCAGTTCGCACCAGAGAGAATGAGGAATGGCGCAGAAGCCAGCAGAGGAAAGATGTTACCTCCACTGCTGCAGTTTGCACTGGAGAGAATGAGAAATGGCGCAGAAGCCAGCTGAGGAAAGATGCCACCTCCACTGCTGCAGTTCGCACCGGAGAGAATGAGGAATGGCGCAGAAGCCAGCAGAGGAAAGATGCCACCTCCACTGCTGCAGTTCGCACCGGAGAGAATGAGGAATGGCGAGAAGCCAGCAGAGGAAAGATGCCACCTCCACTGCTGCAGTTCGCACCGGAGAGAATGAGGAATGGCAGCAGAAGCCAGCAGAGGAAAGATGCAACAGCTCCACTGCTGCAGTTCGCACCGGAGAGAATGAGGAATGGGCGAAAGAAGCCAGCAGAGGAAAAGATGTTACCCACTGCTGCAGTTCACACCGGAGAGAATGAGCAACGGATGCAAGAAGTGCAGCAGAGAGAATGAGATGTTACCCACCACTGCTGCAGTTCGCAACCGGAGAGAATGAGGAACGGCGCAGAAGCCAGCAGAGGAATGATGCCACCTCCACTGCTGCAGTTTGCACCTGAGAGAATGAGGAATGGCGCAGAAGCCAGCAGAGGAAAGATGTTACCTCCACTGCTGCAGTTTGCACCGAGCTGAATGAGGAACAGCGCAGAAGCCAGCAGAGGAAAGATGCAACCTCCACTGCTGCAGTTCGCACTGGAGAGAATGAGGAATGGCGCAGAAGCCAGCAGAGGAAAGATGTTACCTCCACTGCTGCAGTTCGCACTGGAGAGAATGAGGAATGGGCAGAAGCCAGCAGAGGAATGATGCAACCTCCACTGCTGCAGTTCGCACTGGAGAGAATGAGGAATGGCACAGAAGCCAGCAGAGGAAAGATGTTACTCCACTGCTGCAGTTCGCACCGGAGAGAATGAGGAATGCGCAGAAGCCAGCAAAGGAAAGATGCCACCTCCACTGCTGCAGTTCGCACTGGAGAGAATGAGAATGAGGAACGAGAGAGGAAAAAGAGTTATTCCAGAGGAGAAAGATGCCACCAGCCAGATCCACTGCTGCAGTTCGCACTGGAGAGAATGAGGAATGGCGCAGAAGCCAGCAGAGGAATGATGCCACCTCCACTGCTGCAGTTTGCACTGGAGAGAATGAGAAATGAGGGATGTTACCCACTGCTGCAGCGCACTGAGAGGAGAATGGCGCAGCCAGCAGAGGAATTATCAGCAGAGGAAATATGCCACCTCCACTGCTGCAGTTCGCACCGGAGAGAATGAGGAATGCTGCAGGCGGAGAGAAAGCCAGCAGAGGAAAGATGTTACCCCACTGCTGCAGTTTGCCCCGGAGAGAATGAGGAATGGCACAGAAGCCAGCAGAGGAAAGATGTTACCTCCACTGCTGCAGTTCGCACTGAGAGAATGAGGAATTGCGCAGAAACCAGCAGAGGAAAGATGCCATCTCCACTGCTGCAGTTCGCACTGGAGAGAATGAGGAATGACGCAGAAGCCAGCAGAGGAAAGATGTTACCTCCACTGCTGCAGTTCTCACCAGAGAGAATGAGGAATGGCGCAGAAGCTGCAGCAGAGGAAAGATGGCCACAGCCCACTGCTGCAGTTCGCACCAGAGAGAATGAGGGAATGGAGCAAAAGCCAGCAGAGGAAAGATGTTACCCACTGCTGCAGTTTGCACTGGAGAGAATGAGAAATGGCGCAGAAGCCAGCTGAGGAAAGATGCCACCTCCACTGCTGCAGTTCGCACCGGAGAGAATGAGGAATGGCGCAGAAGCCAGCAGAGGAAAGATGCCACCTCCACTGCTGCAGTTCGCACCAGAGAGAATGAGGAATGGCGCAGAAGCCAGCAGAGGAAAGATGCCACCTCCACTGCTGCAGTTCGCACCGGAGAGAATGAGGAATGGCGCAGAAGCCAGCAGAGGAAAGATGCCACCTCCACTGCTGCAGTTCGCACTGGAAGAGAATGAGGAATGGCAGGAAGCCAGCAGAGGAAAGATGTTACCTCCACTGCTGCAGTTTGCACCGGAGTGAATGAGGAATAGCGCAGAAGCCAGCAGAGGAAAGATGCAACCTCCACTGCTGCAGTTCGCACTGGAGAGAATGAGGAATGGCGCAGAAGCCAGCAGAGGAAAGATGCCAACTCATCTGCTGCAGTTCGCACTGGAGAGAATGAGGAATGGCGCAGAAGCCAGCAGAGGAAAGATGCCAACTCATCTGCTGCAGTTCGCACTGGAGAGAATGAGGAATGGCGCAGAAGCCAGCAGAGGAAAGATGTTACTCCACTGCTGCAGTTTGCACCGGAGAGAATGAGCAATGGCGCAGAAGTCAGCAGAGGAAAGATGTTACCTCCACTGCTGCAGTTTGCACCGGAGTGAATGAGGAAAAAAGAAGAAGCCAGCAGAGAAAGATGCAACTCCACTGCTGCAGTTCGCACTGGAGAGAATGAGGAATGGCGCAGAAGCCAGCAGAAAAAGATGTTACCTCCACTGCTGCAGTTCGCACTGGAGAGAATGAGGAATGGCGCAGAAGCCAGCAGAGGAATGATGCCACCTCCACTGCTGCAGTTTGCACTGGAGAGAATGAGGCATGGCGCAGAAGCCAGCAGAGGAAAGATGTTACCTCCACTGCTGCAGTTTGCACTGGAGAGAATGAGGAATGGCACAGAAGTCAGCAGAGGAAAGATGTTACCTCCACTGCTGCAGTTTGCACTGGAGAGAATGAGGAATGGCGCAGAAGCCAGCAGAGGAAAGATGTTACCTCCACTGCTGCAGTTTGCACCGGAGTGAATGAGGAATAGCGCAGAAGCCAGCAGAGGAAAGATGCAACCTCCACTGCTGCAGTTCGCACTGGAGAGAATGAGGAATGGCGCAGAAGCCAGCAGAGGAAAGATGCCAACTCCACTGCTGCAGTTCGCACTGGAGAGAATGAGGAATGGCGCAGAAGCCAGCAGAGGAAAGATGCCAACTCATCTGCTGCAGTTCGCACTGGAGAGAATGAGGAATGGCGCAGAAGCCAGCAGAGGAAAGATGTTACCTCCACTGCTGCAGTTTGCACCGGAGAGAATGAGCAATGGCGCAGAAGTCAGCAGAGGAAAGATGTTACCTCCACTGCTGCAGTTTGCACCGGAGTGAATGAGGAATAGCGCAGAAGCCAGCAGAGGAAAGATGCAACCTCCACTGCTGCAGTTCGCACTGGAGAGAATGAGGAATGGCGCAGAAGCCAGCAGAGGAAAGATGTTACCTCCACTGCTGCAGTTCGCACTGGAGAGAATGAGGAATGGCGCAGAAGCCAGCAGAGGAATGATGCCACCTCCACTGCTGCAGTTTGCACTGGAGAGAATGAGGCATGGCGCAGAAGCCAGCAGAGGAAAGATGTTACCTCCACTGCTGCAGTTTGCACTGGAGAGAATGAGGAATGGCGCAGAAGCTAGCAGAGGAAAGATGTTACCTCCACTGCTGCAGTTCGCGCTGGAGAGAATGAGGAATGGCGCAGAAGCCAGCAGAGGAAGATGCCACCTCTACTGCTGCAGTTTGCACTGGAGAGAATGAGGAATGGCACAGAAGTCAGCAGAGGAAAGATGTTACCTCCACTGCTGCAGTTTGCACTGGAGAGAATGAGGAATGGCGCAGAAGCCAGCAGAGGAAAGATGTTACCTCCACTGCTGCAGTTTTCACTGGAGAGAATGAGGAATGGCGCAGAAGCCAGCAGAGGAAAGATGCCATCTCCACTGCTGCAGTTCGCACCGGAGAGAATGAGGAATGGCGCAGAAGCCAGCAGAGGAAAGATGTTACCTCCACTGCTGCAGTTCGCACTGGAGAGAATGAGGAATGGCGCAGATGCCAGCAGAGGAAAGATGTTACCCCCACTGCTGCAGTTCGCACTGGAGAGAATGAGGAATGGCGCAGAAGCCAGCAGAGGAAAGATGCCACCTCTACTGCTGCAGTTCGCACTGGAGAGAATGAGGAATGGCGCAGAAGCCAGCAGAGGAAAGATGCCACCTCCACTGCATAATTGTTTGTTTTATCTTCAATTTTAAAATATAAAAAATTCTTTATTGTATTATTTAATTTCTTCTTTTAATTTGTCATTGCTATTCCACACAGAAAAAAAAGGTTTTATTGTATTATTTAATTTGTTTTTGTTTAAAGTTTTCTGTTGCACTTATCAAAAAAAAAAAAAAAAAAATGCTTTAATGTGTAGTGTAGTGATTTCAAAAAGATATATAGCTGTAAAAGAAGTAAATAGGCCAAAATTAATCTTACGCTGACGGAAGTACTACGCAGTGAATCAGTATTCATGATGGGGGGACGAATGACCAACAAGAAAAAACTCCAAAAAACGGTAGGTTTCTTCATAATTGTTAATTTGAGTTCAGCATGTACATTTACACGGAATTATGACCATTAGGGGAAATTATAAGAGATATTTAGCGCGTGGACGTTAAAAAGTAAATTTACCCAAATTAGTAAATTAGAACGATTATCTTTATTTTTAAAATGCTAAATCTTTTTTTACTTTATTTATTTATTTATTTATTTATTTTTTTTTTTGCTGTTGTTTTTTAGTTAAATTACATGATATTTTTGAGTTTAATAAATTGCTTTTTAAATTTTTTTATTTTACTTATTTTCACACCAGTTTGTTATCAGAAAATAATTGAACCCAATATGTTTTTTTTTTTTAATTATTCTTAAGAATTATGAGTAAAAGAAAATGAAACTGCGTGGACAATGTTGTGACATAGACTATTTTAGAATAAGGAACAAATTCTCCTTTTACACCGTTCTGTGTACTTTTGTTTCGTTTGCTTTTTCATTTCAGAAACTTCGTGCCTTCTATTTTCAAACAATATTTAATTGCAATTTCTTTAAAAATAATAAGTAAGTTTTATTTGATTACAAAATATTGTCGATCTTGAGAAAGAAATATCAAGTCGAACAACAACAGCAAATTAATCCTGTTTGTTTTTTTTTTTTTGATCCTCCCTGAAAAGGTAAGTGAAAAACGTGAAGTGTGGAAGGAAAATGATGACGAAACAAGATAAGGAATTTATTTACAAATTTAATGACATTTTTTAAATCCAAGATGCACGTTTTTCATTTATGGCTTACCATGTGTAAATATATTATTTTCGCTCTATTTTAACACGTGTAAAATATTTTTTTTGTTTTTACTTTCATCAATAACAAAATTTTATAAAAATTAGAAAATTACATTGAGTTTACGCAGGTACCTCCATGAGATCGCTAAAAAAACGAGCGTCCGTAGCATGATGAAAAAGACGCCAAACTTGACGAAAACAAAATTTTATCGTCTAAATGTTTATGTTATTATTAAGAGGAAAGATCAAAGTATTTTGGGGGTATTTTTTTACATTTTTTAATTGTTCCGAGCACGTCCGAAATTTTCGTTAAAAATCTTGTTTTTTTGAGTCAGCAAAATTGACAGATAATCGATTATGGCATCCATTTTATAAAAAAAGATGAAAATCTCACTTTGAAATTCTTTTAGAAATCAATTATCATTTTTTCAAAACTTATTTTAAGAAAATCAGAAATTACAATGTTTATTTAAAATATTTTGAACTAAGGTTGACTTAGCTTCTGCGCTGAAAAGATGTAATTTGAAAGCAAAGCAGGTCATAACATTTCACGTCATTTGACAGGTGTTGAATGATGTATTGACGAAATACGTGATCATAATTTGTTCTACGGAAGGCGAAAAGTGAAGTTATTTAGATTTAAGGGGACAAATTATTTACCTAGTTATTTTTAAGGAAAACTTTCAGCACACAATTTTTTTTTATTGAACTTAGCTTTCACCTTTATGTTTACGATGCTTTATGGAAAATATTATAAAGGAATTAAAGTAAGACTGATAAGAAGAGTGAGATTAAATTTTATAAGAAAAGTATCTAATTAATTTATAGGTACCTTTCTTATGAAATTTTATCAGAAGTGTACATAAAATACTATAATTTTATGTACATTTATTACATTTTACTGTGTTATTTGTATTTCCATTCATTTTATTATTAATTTTGATATTTCATTTATGGAAAAATGTCATAACTGAGATTAATATAAAAATAAGATCATATAAATTTCATAAGATGATGCTGATACTTCTTAGTTGAAATTGAAAAATCAAATTAACTTCTCTACACGTGTTTCACCTTAACAGCAGAGAACAATGCTTAACTCATATTATAACGCAACTTAATTGTATTCTGGGACGTCTTCCATGCATTATAATTACAGCTTGATTATAAACACAAAATTACATTTCTTAATTACTGTGGGTCTTCTGATTAGTTAGAACGATACAATTTACAATGTGGTAAAAAAAGATCTATCTCATAATGACATTTATGAAAGTGGATGCGGCTTTTAACTAATTTTATAATATTTTAACAACATAAATGTAAAAATCTATTATAATTAAAGAAATAACAAATAATTGTATTCAAAATTCATTTTTCATCAAAAACATTTTTTGCTTTCAGAAAATATTGTCCATATTCATAAAAACAACTAAAAGTAAATAAAAGCATTTGAAATTAAATAATATATTTTTTATTGAGTTTTGTATGTATCAATTTCAGAGCTGATTTTCAGGTAGGGGGTCCAATGAAAAAAAAAACAAAACCTGATTTTCATTCTTCAAAGCCTTGTGCTTTTAACTATTGTCATCACTAAACTTGATTCGATAGAATTTCTAGAGTTTTCATAAAATTAATTATGGGGAGGTAATAGATATATAAAAAATATATTTCTGCCATGTCTTTAATAAAACAAAAACATATTTATAATAATTTCGATCATCTGTGAATAGCTTCTGAAAGTTTCATTAAAATCCGACAATTATTTTTATTTTTGCAAAATTTTCCAAATTAATGTGTGCCATACAAAAAAAAAAAAAAAAAACATACTAAAAATTATATTTTACTAGTTCTGGTGATACAAAGAGAAACAAGGTTTGTTTTTTTTTAATCAAAATTTAGAATGTTCTAAAAAGAAGGAAAAATTTTAAAAAGTAATTCTTTCCTCTTTTTAATAACATAAACATTTAGATGATAAAATTTTGTTTTCGTCAAGTTTGGCATCTTTTTCATCATGCTGTGCTCTTTTTTAATGATCTCATGGAGTTACATAAGTTTACGATACAATGTTCAGGCACATTGCGTTCACCCAAACTATTCACGTTGTCAATATGTTCCAAGGTGTTGACAGTATGGATGAACAGAATTGACATAAATTTACAAAATCTAAGTGAATGCATGTTTTGGGATTTTTAACTAAAACTAGTAATTTTTACAAATTAACATGTTTTCAGCAATTATCTAATATTTTATTGACGTTTAGTTACATTTGAAGATACTTTATGAAAAACTAATAAAATTTAAAATAATATAAAATTTTCATAGATTAATATTAAAATTTATTCACTGGTGAAATACCATGATAGAGGTAACTCAATAATTTATGAAACATTATGGTATTTTATTTATTATTAATTTATATTTTTAATATATATTTTTCATTTTATTCTTTATTATTAATTGTTATCATGATAGTTATTTTTATAGTACTTTAAATTTTATTATTAATTACATAATTGTTTAAACTTTTATTATTTCAACCCAATACCCTAAACAATATTTAAAAGAAATTGCTGCTAGGCATAATGGTACAGAGACTTTCAGAAATATTTTGTGACCCTGAAAACAGCCGTTTTTGTCTTCCATTGCCTCTTCAATCATCATTGCTGGGCTGATTTTCAAAATTTCCTGCATGAAATAGCGCCAACTTCACATTTGTTTAATTGATAATAGCTGCATCATTCAGATATGAAATCACATAAAAAGAATTTGCATAGCTAATGATATAGCTGATGTATTCACTGTTGATACCATCAACTATCAAAATATGTTTGATTGTACATTCAACTATGAGCCCAATGAGTATTTCATGCAGGACCTGTGCAGACTGTGGAAGATACTTATCAAGCAAAGTAAAAATTGACACATCTTTCTTTTGCATTAGCTTTTTCTGGATCAAGGCTCTCCTCCTTTCCAGCTGGGCCTTCTTACCCTTGATCCTTTTACCAATTTCTTCTTCAACTGTTTAGTGCTGCAAATTCTTCAGCCCAGTCTTCTGTCTGCTGTAATTCATTGACAACTGGAGGAAGTACTCGGTATCCAGATCATCGATGAATTTTCTTACTTGATTCCGGTTGGCCTTGATGACATTGCTTATGCTGGATACATAAGCATTAGGCACAAGCTTCTGTCTTTCACAAAATTCACTGATGATGCTTTCAGCTCGCATGGTGTACTGCCTCACCAATGTAAACAAGGACTGAGAAGGTGCCTCTACTGTGGTGAATGATTTTTCATACTTCCTGCTTAACACCTCCACAATCCTTTTTAAACAGGCAGTCATTGTCTGATGAAAGATGAGTTCATTTGTAGGGGCAATCAGTAGAGGCTCTATCTTAAGGGTGAAAATAGACATGGGGTCATCGCTGAGTACGTTCACATTGTCAATGACCCCTTTGATGATGTTCATTGTGTTGATTGAGTTATTTTGCGTTTTGTCTTCCCTGTTACTATTGCTGGGCTGATTTTCGAATCCAAGCCCTGCATAAGAGAGTTTGCACCAACTGTGTATTTGTTCAATTGATAGTAGTCAGCTACAGCATTGAGATATAAATTCATATAAAATGGATTCGCAAAAATAATGATGTAGCAGACATATTCACAGTTGACACCATCAATTGTCCAAATTTGTCTGATTGTATGCCTAACTATGAGCCATACATCAGCGCCAGCTGTAGATATTCCTGGAACTGCTCAGTATCTAGATCATTGATAAATTTCTTTACTTGATTCCACTTGGCCTTGATAACATCGCTTATACTTGATACATAAGCATTAGGTGCAAGTTTCTGTCTTTCACAAAATTTAACAATGATGCTTTCAGCTAGCAGGGTGTACTGCCTCACCAATA